GAAGGATGCATGGGTTGGTGGGCAGGCACCAGGGAGCACCTGGTACTCACAGTCTCAATGACACAAAGTCACTGCTGCTGTGTCTGTGATCTAAGGCAAGAGTGGAGGATTTGTCCACATGGGAGAAGCCACCAGCAGCAGAGCTCCTACACATGCCTGGGGCCAGGTCAGTGATGGCAGTGACTGTCAGGATAAGAGGTAGCTCTTTGCACGGGACAAAGCAAAAATATCCCCATAAACACAGCTATAATTACATCAGCAGAACACCCAGCCAGAGCTGGTCACTCAGCCTTCTCTATACTTCATTCAGGCAAATAAAGAACTGTTCCAGGAAAAGGACAAATATCCAGGCAGTTGTGACCCCATAAAAACTCAATTACGTAGGAGTTAACGTCAGTATAAAACAGCTTTTTTCATTTACTGTAAATCTCAGTGTTTAAAACTGGGTTCTCTGGCTGTAGAAGATTAGACAACCAAATTTGAACTTTAGACTTTTTAAGGGAGGCAAAGGTTCTCTTTTGCCTCCTGCTGTAAGTAATCTCATCTCCTACCCAAACAATTAGCAAACTACTCCACAGCATCCTCTTCAGCCATTCCTTGCCCAGTGCTTCCTGCACCTTTCTTTGGAAAAGCAGCCAGAGCACATCTGCAGCTGAGCTGAGGCAGGACAACACCCAACAGATTTTAAATGTACCACTTTATGCACACATATCTTGAACCTGGATATATGCCTTAGCACCCTGGGGTTGAAATCTGGGGCTTTTGCTTAGGTGTGACCCAGACTCCTATTAAGTCCATCATTAGGTTTATGAGGCATCGTTTGCTAATGCACCTCTACAGCAACACTCCCAATATCACAAGTTCTCTCAGATGTTAGTGTTTTTCCCTCATGGCTTGGGTTTTTGGCTTGTTTGTTTTCTGAACCATCTAGGACTGGCACTAAGGCTGACTCCTGGAAGACACCATAAAGCAGAGATGTCCAGCCTTCCAAACCCTAACCAGCTGTACACTAAAATCTTTGCACAGCCAAGAACCACAAATCACACACTGCAGATTGGGAGAGCTGAACGAGGCCCAAGAAAGCTTTACAGGCAGATGACGGCAAGTTACTCTGAAGTACCACTGGGACACTGGGCTGGCTTCCTCACACAGCCTGCTCTCAGTGACCCTCTGCCACCAAACTTAGCCTCCCCCTGTTTGAAGTAATTAACATCTGAGGTTCTGAGCCAGCCCAACATTGGTCATGAAACAAAATCATGACTTGAACAGCTCACAGTCCACATGTGGACTTTCTGGCACTACAGGATAATTCCCTTGGGCAACGATTTTCAGGTTTTTTTATTCTTGACATTCTGTTTTTTAAAAGAATTACTTTATTTCCTCACATTTATTAGCATTCAGATCTGCTGTACACAGCGCTTGTTTCCTCCACATTCCTCCTGCTACAATTTCTGGAACCACCTTTCGTTGCTTCCATTTCTGTCCATGTTTGAAACTGGTTTCAACCAGCCACGGTCAAACCACACCCCATATGACTGCAGACCATGGAATACGCACTGCATCAAGCCGTCTTGCTGAAGCAGTGGTTTGTAATATGGTTGCTGGTTGATTGTTTGTCTGAAAATCCCTATCCACAGGAGACACTGAAATAATGCTAAAAGGCAGGCTAGTTCCAGAAACGTTAGGATGTTTGTGCTGCAGACTTCTGGACAGTGTAGTTCTGTCGACAGATATGATCCCTGACCAAAGGAGCAATGCCAGCAGCAGCTTCCAGTGCGAGGACAGCACCTTTACCAGTCTCACAGACTGAAGGTGGAGTGGTATTGAGACACCATACTAATAAGCCTGTACTTTGTCACATCAGATGAGTAATCCTCCTGAGACCTAGTAAAGACCTCTTAATGAAGGAACTGCCCTAAGGATCAGCAAACTAATATTGTTCAATTTGGCTTCAGTTTCCCAAGGAATGTGGGAAGGCAGGGGAGGAAAGAGATCAGGAAAGACAAGTGTAATGAGTCAGTCTTTGGAAACCAAGCTACAGATTTGCCTCTAGTTACCTCATTTACAGGCTGGTTCTGGAGTTGTGGCCAGAGAGCACGCATGGTTTCAAACTGGAGCAGACTAACTTGGGACTCTGCCACTGCTCAATGTCCCCAAGTCAACTTAAGAACTAAGCTCACTCCATTATGCTCCCTTGCAAATACTTCCCCTGCCCCTTGGTGAAAACACTGGTCTCTGGTTTCCAGCTCCAGAGTCCTCTCAGCCTCCATCCTTGGGGAGAGTCCAGGCCAAAGACCTCTTCCTCCTCAACACCCCTCGCCATCCCTCTGGGTCTATCCTGTAAGAAGCAAGGCTCAAGAGAAGCCATTATGCTCCACATGCCTGGAGCCCTCTCCCACCTGTACACAAACACAGCCACTGGACTCCTTCCTATATGAAGCCCACATGAAGTCTATTCAGATCTTATGTGAAACTCTCCACAGATTCCTCTTCTATCTCTGCTATGCAACTTGACCTTCAATTTGCTTCCCAGTACTTCCAGCTTTCCATAGCCTGTAGATCAAGCCTGACAGAGCTTTCTTCCATGCAGTTCTGCATTATGGACATTCCTGAGCTGGCCCACTCACCACCACTGAACCAGTCACGTGTGGAGAATGTGTTTCAGGGCAGGAAGCAGAGCTGCTTAACAGTGATAGAAGGGCAGTAACTGAGTGGTGAAGAGCTAAAGTTGAGAAGAAACATTTGAACAGCAAGTGACAAGAATCACCTAGCAAGCAGAAAACCCCAAACCCTTTATTCACAATTTGGGAAAGTAACCACACCGGATGTGAATTGCTTTGTTGGTGCTGGGACAGCCACTGTGTGTCTTTGTATCTACCTTACTACAAGCCAGCCATGACTGACACAGGGCAGAGGGACATTCATTAATGAAGTTACCCATTTGCTAAAATAATCCATCACAACACTCAAGATGGGAAGTTTTATGTAACAGTGCTTGGCCAATCCATGATAAACACAGAGAGAGGTTAAGGTGCAAGAGGTGTCCCTTTGCCTACAGCAAGCACAAGCTGATAAGGTGTAGGGAATGGTCTTAAATTGCTTCACGAGATGGCTGTAGCATTGTAGCTGGGTCACGGTGCTTTGGAGTCAGCCAGTTCTTCTCCTGTGCCACAAGCATTGGTTCCAGAAACCTCAGCTGCCTCGAGGTCCCCTTTACACACCTCCTCAAGCTCATAGAACATAACTCTACTACGGGGATTAATTTTCTGTCAGAGCCTTTAAATCCTCATCCATTTTTAACCCATGGCAATGTTCTCACCAATGGCCCACTAACAGAAACTAGACACCCCAGCTTCCCAGCTCAGCCCCTCTGCACAGCTCCTGCTAGCCTCATCCCTGCTTTGTTCCTCCAGGCCTGCCCAGCTTCATGCTCTTCAGGGTGTGCTCTGCAAAGACACATCCCACCGTGGGGAATGAAAGACAGATAATATCCAAGAAATGCCAGTGAAGGAGGAAGCAATGTCAAGATGTAGCAGTAGACAACTCCTTGCAAGAGTAAGCAGGACAAGGCCTAACACAACATGGCCTATCCAAAAAGGCAGTAACAGTCTCACTTAGCAAAGGAAAATGTGGACTGCTCCAGTCACAAAGTTTTTTTAAAAACTCATGATATTGCATTAAAAGTTGTCCAGCTTTTTCCCTGCCAAGGTAAAAAAGTAGGCACTGTCTCACTTATGCTAAAATATTTGGCTGTAAACAGATTTTCATTTAAAAAAAATATTTTCTTCCAATACAGGAAAGAATTGTGTTTCATAGGAAGATTTGTCTCAATCTCACAACTGATACACCCCATTAAAACCCCCTGGGATCTGCTGTGTTTAGATGAATAAACTGAGATGACACAGTCACATATCCCAAGCATCTTTGGATCTTGAGAGAGAGAACAGTGCCAGCTTACGTGACAGGAAATCCCTGGTTCCTTGGGTAGAGCCTGCAGTACTTCACTGATATTTCCATGCTGGTTCCATGGGGCTACCAGCACAGATCCAACTGCACCTGAGGTCAGAGTCCAAGGAGGTCAGGGCTCCGATTTCTACCAGCATTAAAAGAAACCTATCCAGGGAGGCACCCAAGTGAGCATCCTACTCAGTGCATGAAGCTTAAAGAGCTGGGGCAGTATCCTGAGGCAGGAAAGGATCTCAGTAAAAGGGCAGACAGCCTGCAGCTTGTTGTTAGGCCCTTTTTTACTGCCTGGCAGAAACTGAGCATAAATATGTTTTAGCATAATCTGTGCATGGAGAAGTCTGATCCCCTCAAGGCACACACACAGGAGGTGCTGCAAAGCGACAGCCAAACACCAACACAGATGTGTCTGCACAAATGGTGCCAAAGGGGGGAAAAGAAAAAACTCAGACCAAGTGTTTGTTTATCCAGGAGTGTGAACTAGTCTGTGAGGTCAGCTATAGAGGACCTTGCTGCACTGAACCCTGGCAATTTGTCAAGTTAGGCACTGAGCAGAGCCACACCAGCCAGCCTGTGGGGGAGATGTCACTGCCCAGACCTCAGAGCAGCCCTTGGATACCTGTTAAATCACTCCCTGGCCATGCCCTCCAGCAGTGCTGGGGGACTTGCAGTGGTAAGAGCCCTCCCCAGTCCAAGCTGGCCCATCTGCTTCATCAATCTGGCCTTGTGAGATGAAGGCAGGAGGCTGCAGCTTAAGCTGAGATCAAGCCAGTACTTTGCCACAGGGAACTGTGCATGCTATAACACTGCCTTAAGTCAACAGTTAAATCAGTGGTACTTCATTACTTTTAAATAGTTGATAATCTGGTATATAAATGCAGAAAATTAAATATTCCTCCTTTCCTTCACCCCCCCTCCCCACTTCTATTCCTCTTTTCCCATCCCGCTGTCCTCCCACAGTAAGGCAAAGTATGGGATTAAATCTCATGAACTGCTCCCAGGAAATATCCTCTCCTTCAGCATGCTGCAGACCCTACCTTGGTTGAGGTAGGTCAGAGTTTCTTCGTGCAGTTTCACTGCGGGTGAGGTGGCTGTGCAGAGGACGTACTGAAAGGGTGGCAGCTTGGCATCATTCTCAGGAGACAGCTGAGGCTCTTCCTGCTTGAAGATCGGCAGAGCAAGGACATCTCTGCAATGAGCAAGTTACACAGTCAGTCACAAAGAGTTTATGGACTACCCTAGCCTCAATCTGCATTTGGTTCTCTGAGATAACGGGGGTGGTCTCTGGAGAAACACCAGGTTAAAATGGCTAAAAAGAGGAAGAACTGGGCCTGTATAATGTAACCAGGCAACTTCTGTGTCTAGGATATCAGCACTGCACACAAAAGAACAGAGAACTGGCAAAACAGAGTATGTCTGAGAATTAATGTAAGTTTTTAAGAAATAAATCAGATTTACTTTTCAGTTACACAGTCTTCTCGGTGAGGAAAATAATATCAAAAATACATCCTTCATCCTTGTGGATGTATTTGATTAAGAGCTCTCAGGTGAATGCCTTTCAGAAAAAAAAAAAAAAGCAAGAAAGGGCATTTTGACAGCTGAATGTCAGATTAGTAAAATGTCTCCAAGTAGCAGCCATGGGTGAGAAGCGGACACAGCTCTGGTGTACAAAGCAGATATTCAGGTAAATGATGGCATGAACAGCTGGATTAATTGATTCAGAGTATCTCCCTGCATTCTAATAAACCTGGTCCCAAGGAATCACACAGCTCTTATGTCAGCACTGGGCTACCTTCATAAATGTACTCAGGTGCATGGGAGCAGCTTCATTAGGACCTGCACACAGTCCGAGTTCCCACTTCTTTAAAATTCTTTATCATGTTTATCATGTGTTGGTGGTGACCTGCCTGCTGATTTAGTCCCAGGCTGATCCCAACCCACACTAATCCCCAAGCAGAACTGGTATTAGCAAGGCTGAGAGCTCAACAAATGATCAGTTGATTAGTACAAAATGAGATGTCAGGAATAAGCATTCTTATCTCAGCCTGTCTGATGCTGAAGAACCACATTAGCCTCTCCTATGACACTAACACTGCTGATCATTGTGTCCACCTACTTAAAACATTAATACCCTTCCAAATTAGGAGGATTATACTGAACACAGTAACAATTCAGAATGAGTGATTCTTTTTCTCTTATTTCTTCCAGATGTGTGAAGACTCGAGATTCTCTTTACACAGGCTGCAGTTCTTCTCCTTTTGACAATCCATACACAAAACGCTCTAAGAAAAGCCAGCCAGCATGTACAGGCATGCACCCTGAAAGGGCATTAAGAATTTTTTCCTTGCCTGCTCAGTTAATGATCCACTCATAGCATTCACAACCTTGAAGGCTACCCAGGTCATCAGTGAAACAGTGCAGCAGTTTAGAGTAAACTGCTCAAGTGCCTGCTTCAAACACAGGTACTCCTGTTTATGGGAAAACAATGCCAAAGAGCAAAATGTACCATTTCAGATGCAGACAGGAGAAAAGAAACACCCATCTCTGTTTCCATTCTCTCTTCCAACCCCACACCCTCAATATTATCAACCACTCAAAGGCATCCAGCCCCATTTGCTTCCTGGCATTACTGACATAATCACAGCTCTTGCCTAACTGCTGCCACAGAGGGGTTTTTTTCCTTAGAGATGATTTACTACAGTAATGAAGTGACAGAAATGCCTGCAGTAGATTTCTGAAATAGACAGCATTGCTCCACACACATGCAGGATCTGATACTGCTCCGGAGTCATCTCACTCAGCCTGGATGCCAACATTTGCTCATAAGGATGCCAACATTTGCTCCTAACGCACTCCTCTGCACAGTGCTCTCTGAATGCCTGTGGCTTTACAGATGAGAACAGGTCCAAAACTCCAGCACCCAAAACCTTCTGCAGTTCGGCAGAAACTGCACAAAATCTGGCGTAGGTTTAACAGTTAGGGGTGAGGAATTCGTGCATATACTCACCTGAAACAGATGAGAAATTTAGGCAGGGGGAAGCCAAAATTTAAATACGATATCTCACATCAGGTTCTTTGCACCCCCACACCTGCTGGCACAGCTGTCTGGTCGCTGAATTCTGCAAGCATGCAGGAATCCATGACTTGGTTTCTGGAAAGCTTCACCATATTAAAGCTCCAAAGAAGCTGCACAAGTTAATCACATTTTTATTCCTAGAGCATTTGAACTAATGGCCTGCGGTATAATTGCTTTGGGTCAAGACCTTCTTAAATATTCGACCTTATTGGAAGAGTTTGGAACTTAGAATGAGGTCAAAAGAATTTTAAAGTTGTAAGTGTATAAGTCATCACAACACTTACCCAACTCTTCACTCAAGAGTTGCAAATTAAATTTAGGGGAAGAACAGGCTTTTACAACAGTTCCTATACTTAAAAAAAAAAAAATATTTAAAAAATGTTGAACTCCTTAAAACTCTCCCAATTTTCACCCTTATGCTAAATATTTACAGTTCTGGTCTTAAATAACAGTTAGCTTGCATACCTGGAAGGAGAGAAAGTTTTTGAGAGTTCAGTCAGCTGACAGATCAAAGTAAAAAAGGTACTGGGTTTTTGTAAAAAAATGAATGAAAATTTACAAGAATTTTTCTGTAGAATCTTGCTCCAGCTACAAATACCACTGAGGTACAGCAGAACTTACACAGACATCTCAAATACACATAAAGCTCTTGATTTCTGCAAAATATAACTTCTACAAACTTTTCTTACAGCAACTTCAAATATTGTACTATTTCAGTTTCTCATGCATGTCTTGACACGTTCTCATGGAAAGTGAATTGGCCAGAATTAGACATCTCTACATAAAAAAAAACACGGGTTTTGTTCAACCAACCTTCCCTGAAACAACTGAGGGTATTGTTGCCATAAAAGTGGTTGTAGGGATTTTAATCCCAGATCAAACCCACCATGTTCACAGAGGCAGATACTCACTAAAGCTGAAGATTGTTCCTAAAACACCAATAGGTCACCTCCATACCAGCAGCCTTCCTGACAGAACAGGTATCCTTTATCCTCCAGCTAACATCAAGCCTGCAAAAACAAGCTAATGTGTTTTCTGGCCCATTAAATAGAATTTAAAATGTGGAGAGTAGCCTGACCCACACCTGATGATCTTGTAGCACTCCTGCTACAAATCCATGGAGTTAATGAAGCAGCCTGACCACCCTAAACACTCTAATGGAGAATATGCACAAGCACCAATGCTGATGCTCCTCTGCTAGTACCATTTTCACTGCCCCAAACTAATCAGATTTGCAAGTGCAAAGCAATAGAGAAGAAGACTCCTGCCACATACGTGTTGTGAAACTGAGTTATTGACATAGAGGGAGGACGTGAAGACTCTTGTACAAAGAAACGTAAAAGCTGCCAGAAGGCAAGAATCTCCCAATATTGTATCATTTGATAATGAGAGGTTACTACAAAATCCAAAATAAAATTCCTTTGCAAGTACACTGATAGGCAGCAGGAATAGTCAAGATAACAAGTGTCCTTGAAAGGGAAGCATTATCGGCGTTCGAAGTGCTTCCCCAGACAAACTCAATGTTCTCTCAAGAATGGTTATTTGGGGGTACATTTGAAAGTCAGGGTTCTTGGGCCACAGACAGGTTCTCCACTGCCACAATTCAGCAAAAATCCCACTCCAGCAACCGACACCAGCTGACGGCTGAGCTTTACATCTTCAGAAAACAAATAATTCACAAGCACCCAGCAAAAAGGGAACTCCCAAAGTTGCCTGCTTTGACATCGTTTGGAGGGAGGAAACACGGGTTTGTGCTACACATGTCACAAACTATTGTTTAGCAGCCCTTGTACTTAAATTAGGCACATTTAATTAAACTCAACTGTGCGGAGGCAGGAAAAAGCTGGTTTAGGCAAGTTCAGAAAGTGAAATTCTGCGCTTTTCACACATCGTCCGAAAAAGCAGAGAAAGAAATCCCATTCCCAGAAAACTGGGTGCCTTCTCAATTTGCTATCAGGCGCTTTGCTTTCCGCAGAGTTTTGACAGCGCTCCGCCGCTGCCGCACCTCCTCCCTTGGAGCTGCGCTACCCCAGCCCGGAGAAGAGGGAACGCGGCACAAGCAATAAAGCAACGCTGCAGAGAGCTGTCTAGCCAGGCGCTAAAACAATAAAGAAGGAAAAAAGAGCAAGCAAAACAGGAAAATAGTCTCTCAGACAGAGGGAGCGGCGCTAGCCCCGGGAACTCGGCGGGCGGGCGGCCGCGGGGCCGAACATCCACCCGTGCCAGGGCTGAACATCCACCCGTGCCAGGGCTGAACATCCACCCGGGACTCACCGCAGGTAGCTGCCGCTCGAGTGCTGGTTGTAATGCTCCGGCTGCGTGTGCCAAAACAGCATCTTGGGGGCGGCCGGCGGCGGTCCCAGCGCTGCCCACCCCGCGGGTGCCCGGCCCGGCTGCCGCCAACTGGAGCCGCGGCCCCGCCGGCTCTCGCCGCTTTTATGGCTCAGCCCCGGCGGGCGCGGGTTGGCCGGGCCCGGAGCCGCAGCCGGGCGAGCCCTCCCCCGGCCCGCCCCAGCGCCAGCCCCGGCCCCCGGCGGGCTCGGGCCGCGCAGCCCCGGGGCGGAGCGCCGGCCCCAGGGACCGGCCCGGGCCGAGCGCGGTGTGAGGGGCCGTGGGGCCGAGGCGCTGGGGCCCGGCAGCCCCGGGCCATCCCCGGCCGGGCTGGAGCTGCCGCCCGGCCTCTGAGCTGTGTTTTAAACCGAGCCGCTCCATCCGACAGCAGTGTGAAAGCCCTGCTGAGGTTCCTCTGAGGTCCCTGTTGAAATGAACGACAGCTGATGGCTGTAGCTCAGTGCTGTCCCTTACACCGCCCTGTGCCTCGTGTTAATGCGACCTTTGTGTCAGGGGGTATTTTCCAACTGAGAGAGCAAGAGGCAAAGTTTGCCAGAGGAAGTTTATGAAGAGAACAGTGTCAGAGACTAAACTCACCCCTAGGCCACTTGAAACACTCCTGTCTTTTCTATTTCGACTCCCCCACACAGCATGGAGAAATCTGTTTCCTTTCCATCTCAAATTGCAGGTCCTGATCCTCACCCCCAAAGCTGCCCATAGCTGTCATTTTCCTAAGCCCCCCTGCTCTCAGGGCACCTTCATGTCCCACCAGCCCTTCTCTGGTCCGATAGCTTGGGTGGGGGGAACAAAAGGATAGAGGGGCTCCCTGTTTGGTCATTTCGTATTGCATATCCAGCAGCAGAAATGGAAACAAACTCTTAATTACTCTGTGTCATTAAACACCTTTCAGTCGGTTTTTCAGGAGAGGGCTTCCTATCCCTGAGGTTCCTGGTCAAATTTCAGCTGAGCAAAAGGCAATTTACTCGGGGTGCTTGTCAGCATTCACTGTCAGGTTTCACCATCAGATGAGCTTTTTCAGACAGATGAATTTCCTGTTCTCCTGCCATGATTGTAGAATATTGCTGTTGCCGTAGCATTTATAGATCATAGTTTGGTCAAGCCCAATAGAGTCAGATGCAATCTAACTATAGGCATTGGTTTTTTTTGTATCTTAAGGTAAAGAACAATGTAGCCTGAAAGGTAACTAAGCAGCTTTACAGAGATGTTATGTGTCTAAGAGCTTTTATGAGGCATTGTTTATACCTTCTTGGCTCTGTTAATTTCAGAGTAAGAAACAGCACAGTTCAATGCTCCTTTACAGTATCCTTGGTTACTACACAGACAAACACTGGTTCTAGCAAAGCAAAATGGCTGGAGGTATCTTTTTTATACTCTTGAAAATATTTAGCTCTGTTCACACAACATCTGAGACCTTGATTAAGCAAAGACTATATATAGCTCTTGGACAGAGAAACAAGGCAAAGTTTGCTGAGCTGTCCAAGGACTTCTCTAAATAGTAAATATCCTTCCACAGTTTAAGTAGTTTACTGCATCTAGTGGGGAAATATGAATTCCAGTGTAAAAGTAAATTGCCACACTGTATGAAACAAAGGATCACATTAAGTCTGGCATGATATATTTTCTTTACTATCCTTCTAAAAAGTACATATATTGGAGTGAAAATTACTTTAAAATAATCCCACTTATTTCCTCTCTAGCCTGTTGATGAATGTAGAAAATAAGGTGAAATCTACTAATTAATTTTACAGAGACTATGGCAGCAGCTCTGTCTTCTAAATGTTTCTGTCCTTCCCATTCCTTTGAAAGCCAAATCTGATGAAGACAAAGACTTCTTTGTTCCTTGACTACCTCTCCTGAAAGAAATCTCAGCCATTTTCTGGTCTAACTGCTGCTTTTCCCCTGGCGCAGAAGTTTGTACTACAGCATCAAATACCTTCTTCTGGCCTTCAGAATCCACCACACCACGTAGGACAAATCATCCTCTGCTCCCCTCTGGGACTCCCATTATCTGCTCTTCCTCTTATCTTAACACAGCCCCTCAGTGACAAAGTCTTCTCCACCACAGCTTTCTCACCCAAGCCTTCCTTTACTCTGCTACTTCCTCCCAGATCAAAGTAATTTCTTTGCTGTTCTGGTTGCTTTTCATCCCTCATTTTAGATGCTTGGTCAATCTGCCATGGTAAAACACTTTGATCATATGATTAAAAGGGATTGATTGAATATTTTGTTTGATGGATTTTTCTACTTGAGGAAATGCTATGAAGGGACCTTGGGATACTTTTTGTGTTGAAAAAAAGGTATTTAAAAAATAAGTGTCTTTTTCTGTGGATGTTTATACCTGGAAACCCAAGTAGTGTGCCAGTGAGTTCAGTCCAAAAGTTCATTCTGCTGCTTCACTGTTTGTTGCAATCCCTTTAGCTAAGCACTGAGTGGGAAACATCTTTCCTTTGCTTCACTGGAGAGTCGAGAGGTTTTGATAAGCTTTTCAGCACCTGGAACCAAACTAGTAGAATTTACAGTGAAGTGACTGAGATAGAGTCACATATTCAGTTCCCTTTCTGCTGTGGAAGAACAGTGTTCCCATTAGCCAAAGGACTAAAGGGATGTGAGCATTATAACACTGTAGAGATGGCTACAGATGTAAAAAGAGTGAAACACTTCACTTGCATGAAACTGAAAACAGAACATCTCTATACCTTTATGACTTCCATCACAAACATCTGAGTTGCTTCTGGGCAGTCTAACTCTGTATCAGTTTAGCAATTTTGTGTTCACAAAGCCCCAGATAAACTTAAAGGATGAAGGGTGAACATTATACTGTATCAAAGAGCTTCCAAAAGCCGCCATTAGTTCATTATGGTATTAGTCAAGGGATTATTCCACCTCCCCCAGGATGCACAGACCATAGAACCTGGATGAGCTGCAGGGATCTGAAATGAGATGGTCACCCAAGCACTGAATATGCTCTTAGGAAAAATAGTCAGCATGTGCCTTTTGTGTTGCCTTTCTGTGCATTTTAGCTTGCAGGTTTCCAGGCTTTGACTTGGGGATCCTTGGGGGAGTTCTATTGAAGCAGGCTCTGCAAGATAACCAAGAAATGTGACTGGGCTGTGACTGGCTAAATTTGCTCACCTTTCCCTGGAAAACACTGAAGGCACAAGAAACTGGAAGAGGACTGAAAACCTGAGGTTTTAATCAACTGCAATATTAAGAATGAAGAAAGGAACAGCTTTTACACAGCCCTTATTGCTCTAAATTTAAAAAGAACAACATTGCTTTGCCTTCAACAAGGTTTGGGACTGCTTCCAGTGGCAAGTGTAGACTTTCACAGATATCCCACTGACCCTCAAAGTCTTCTCATTTATTCCATGCTGGTCCACTGTTCAGATGGAAACCAGCATAGATGGGTTCACCTTGCCCTCTACTGAGCAGAACTTTGGGCAGTGGCTACCACCAGGAGTATGAATGTAGTCATAGAGTTACAGCCAAGAAGGAGGGCACTGAACTGGAAAAACTGAGAATGAACAAGGTCTTGAAAGTGTGCATTATACTGACAGAAACACAGACCTTATTTTGGTTTTACAAGAGGAAGATTAACAGGTGACTCAAACATAGTCTATAAATACTCACATGGAAAATCAACATTTCATAAAAAATGCTCCTAAACCTCACAACAAAGATAGAAGAGTCTCAGCATAAACACTACAAGTTTATAAAGCAAGGCTAAGAACAGACTGCAGTAAATGTAATCAGCCATGAGTGTAACTTTCCCAAACTTGGTGGTTAAAGCCACCTCCCTCCATCCTCATCTTCTAGATATAATTATATAATTATATAATAATATAAGACTAACTTAAAAAAAAAAAAAAAAAAAGTTGAAGAGAAAGGAATTAAGGAATTCATTTAGGTCCTGTGGCCAGTTTGACACAGGAGAGCAAAGAAGCTCACCAGGGCTCTTTCTATCTTTACAATCTCTGACGTCTCCTGCCAAAGGCTTCCAAATGCAGCCTTATTAAAGTCACCCTGCTCTACCTCGTGAGTGTGAAGCAAAGTCTCCCCTTCCCCTTCCCTGACAGTCAAACTGCCCCCATGCTCATATGTCATGATGTGCTGTCAACACAATCATCCTGACACAATGAGAGCCACATTAACTGAACTTAATAGCAAAACAAATATCAGGAAGAATACCACACAAATTGGCTTATTTTCTTATTCAAGTCATTCATTAAAACTCTCACCATTTTCTTACTTATCAGAGGTCACCATCAAATTTCCAGCTGCCACTAAATTTCCAGGCACAACATAGCACTGATGTATCCACGAGGCCTTTTTTGCCACAGAAATTAAGCCTCATTTGTGAGCTCTCCCCAATGTCATATTAATCATTTTGACTGTCCTGATTTTATCACCAGAATCAAAATTTTCTTTCTTCCTGGTGAACATTTCTTTTAAAGTCATTTTGTTGTGGAAACAAAAAAATATTTACACAATGAGGAAGATGGATGATTGGATGACAAAATAAGTGCTTTTAAAATGCTCATTATACATCTATTGGCATAGGCTGTCTCATTGTGAGCTGCAGGCTGCAATGGTCGGGACACACAGTAGCCGTGTTTACATTGCTGCGAGAGGGACCTCCGGAGCCAACAGCGTGAGTAGGACAGCAGAACGTGACTTAAAAATATATAATAATAAAATTTAAAATAAAAAAAAAAAAAGGAAAGGAAAGAACAACAACAGAAAAAAAAATCATGTACTTTTTGACTTTTTGGCCAGCAGCAGACACTGACTCTGCAAACAGCTGTGGCCAGAACATGAGCACATCACACTCTCACACACAGGGTGGCAGAGCAGGGGGACTGTCACTGCCTGCTGCTTTGTGGGGAGCAGGAGCTGAAGCATTGTCACTCAGAGCTGACAACAGCCCAGTTCTGCTCACAGCTCTGTTGCCCGGGGAAGCTTTGCTTCATAGCTGAAAAATTGT